TTACCACTCCCTCCCATCTACAATGATTAGAACCCATGGTCATTATTTCAGTAATTTCTCGAATAGTATAATCATTTTCAATGTTCCTCGTATTCATGTTTAACTGTAACATGACGATTTCATCGATGAGAGTAAAAAAAATTCGTTCATTTATTTGAATGAGACGACTAATCTTGAACTCTTTTTTATCCCAAAGATAATATCTTGATGTATATAAACACGGTGATTTGGTTGAATTTTTTAAGGATGCTTCTGAATATACATATATTTCTGGCATTTGTATCATCAAAAGATCTCCATTTGGAAGAAATAGTAAAAAGCATCCATCGTTTGTGATGAGGACTTATCGTAATATTTTTAAAAGTTTCCATATTTCGGATAATTAAATTAGAATAATGATCACAATAATGATCAAACGCATGTAATTTGTGACCAAAAATCAATAATTTATTGTTTGATAATCCTAGTAACGAGATAGGGTTACTAAATTCAACATCACATTGATCATCAATGCAGACGATTTTCTTATCAAAATTAACCTTCCATATAGCCAAAAACTATCATCATGATTAGTAACGACATATTTCAAATCCGGTGAAACGATGAACGATTGAATTGTTGCAATTTTATGTTTTTCTTTATCAACAATAATTTCCATCACTTTATAATTTTGGAATGGAATTTTATCTGATATGAGCAAAGTCCAAAATATCACATTTATATAAGCGTTCATAGATAAATAATTAGATGTCAGGGATGGGTTGCAGGTAATAGCATATGCATAGTACGTTACTGGTAATGTCAATTGTTATTAAATTTTACCATTCATGTATTTTATTACACTTTTCTTTATGTTGATAGAAATAATGCTCATGCATCATGATATATGCATAGTACGTCACTGGTAATGTCAATTGTTATTAAATTTTACCACTTATATACTTTATTACACTTTTCTTTATGCTATTGATAGAGATGATGCTCATGCATCTTGATCAATGTAAATAAAATCACAATCAAACGAACAATATGAAAGCTAATAAAAAGAAAAAAATGAGGGCAACTATTCAATTCACAGTGCGGTGAATAAGCAAAAGCAATTTGCGCAATCAAAAGAATTATTATTTTTCAATATATCATATTTATTTATATTATTATGTCGATATTCAGATATGACGTTCGTAAAACCAGAAATTTGTAATTGCGCAATGGGCATATCAAAATTGCATGAAATTTGTGGAAATAAAAATAGGTTGCGTTCCGCAAAATATCTGTACACGAATTATTATTCGTTGTTTGTGCCTCTATAATTTTTGATCGAATGGTAACTGCAAAATCAATTTCCGACTAATGAAAACTTCATTCCCGAAACATCTGTAGGTGCTTGAAAACGCCTTAAATTTAGAAATTAAACTTTTATTGTAATATATAAAGTCCATCTGCCATACTATACAATAAAAGAAATTTATAATAAAACTACACAATTTTTTTTTTTAAAAAAAATAATAAATCCTGTTCTAGACCAGACAAAAATTAGTTTTAGATTCTCATGACCTGGCCGTGTCAGTTTTACAAAATTTATTTTTTTTATAGTGAAATTTTTTCACTTAATAAAAAAAAAATCTATTTTATTATATAGGTTTGACCATTTGGGGCCTTTGCAATAGAAAAGGGGGAAACTGCCGGGAAAAATTAATTTTACTTTTATATGCCAAATATGATTTTTAGGCTGAAATATATTCAAATTTAGCTTTAACTCATTTTTGATTTTTCCGGTAGTTTCCCCCCTTTCTATTGCAAAGGCCCCATTTGTTCTAATAAATTTCACCGTAAAAAGAAATAATAGAGATCTAAATAGGTCAATTAGCATTTATATATTTAATTTGTTTTAATTTTATATTATGATTTTGTTCTATTAAGTCTGTAGATTTGATTCATTTAAAAATGAGGTTTTTATTGCTTTTATTTAAGTTATCAAGCAGCAGTATAATTATATGAAATCAATGCTTCTAACTCGATTTTATTTAATAAAAATAAAGCATTAACTAGTAAACTTCGAATTTCAATCAACGCGCCATATAATGATAATATGATCATGAAGGAGAAAAATCTCATCTTCCGTAAGCAATAATCATCATGAGAAACGTTCCAAAGAAATTTCCATCATGACAGAAGCAATTTCCTTCATCAAAACATTTCAGAAGCGATTACCATCATGAACAACGCTTTTGAAGCAAATTTTATCACGAGAAACGAATCCCTTGTTTCGAAATCATATTTTTATTTTTAAAAAATTAAAACGAAACCTACCCTTCTCCGCGATACTTGATTAGGATTTATTCTTTACCGGAATGTTTAAAAGCAATGGTAAGTTTTTTTCCAATTTTAACTTAAAATACAAGCATTACCATATGCTTTTCCTTCAAGAAGTTTTCGATTTGTCGCTTGATTAATGCGAGAAAGTAATAAAAAAACTCTCCTTTTAAATTTTTTGTTTAAAAAAAGTTAAGTCTATGTAGTACAGTTCAATTATTTAATCATTAACTGAATCTAATGAATATTCGGGTTTTGATATATTGATCTGAGAAAAGTCAAATTATCATTGAAATAAAATATAAGATCAATTAAAGAAAATGAAATCCTTTTTAAATTTCAAAAATTCTTCATGAATTTTATATGAAATTTTAAAGCTGATTATAATAGATTTTGTAGGTATTTATACTTTAATTTTTAAGTTCAAAATTTATTGCAAATATAATGATAACTTTTCTATAACAATATGTTTAAACAAACTAATATTACGAAATATTTAAATTGCAGACTAAGTAACTTTTATTTAATCTTAATGTTTAAATAATTCCCGATAAAAATCATTTATGGTTACTTAAATTTAAAATAATTTCAACTTCAAATTTATATTAATTTCTTTTTTAAATATATAATTATAATTATTTGTGAATATATGATTCTTATTAAATTTATTTAATTTGTATAATTATTTACCTTATAGAATTTCTTTCTTCTAATGAAGATTTGAATTATTTCATCTAAAAATTCTATAAATTAAAATTATTAAAGTATATAATTTGTAATAGAAAATTTTATTTATTTTTTACCATCATTTACAATATGGCTTTTTTCCATATTCTGCATTTCAATATCATTATTTATATAATTTACATAAATTTCTAAAATAAAATTTTACTATTAAATATTAAGAATTTAAAAAAGTTTTTCTATTTAAAATTACCTTTATGATTAACTAGTTTTATTTTTTTGGATTTACAATTTTCTATTAAGGCTAAAAATAATTATGATAAGTATAGACCATTGCTACTACTAGCAATAATAGAATTTTTTGAAGCAATCCTATTTGATTTGCCCTTATTTATATCTAGAAGTTTGAAGTTACAAAGATTTTAAATGTTTGGGATTTTATAAACTACTATCAGCTAATTTTTTAAAAAAATCTTATTTTTTTATAAAATATTTAAAAATTAAAAATTAAAATAATCTATGATAAGATTAAATAACTTACATTTATCAGTATTTTATGGTTCAGATAAATCTTTAAAAATATGAACTTTACTAAATTTATTAACTAATGAACTAATAGCGCTAGCATTTAGATTAACATTTTCATTTGATCGTATATAATTAATATTAATACTATTTTCTTCATTTTCATTTTGATATTACAAACTTTTCACTTTAAAAATTTTATATTTAAGAATATCAATTTCTGGTCTTTTAAATAAACGAGCATCCAACATTGTACCATTAAATTTGCATATACCAATGTATTATTGTTTGGTCTTATTCTATTTATTATTTTTATTATAAGATCATAATTATGTTCAATTCTAGCAAATGGTTGTTGTCTAATATTCTTTAAATAGTAACGTTACATTATTATGCATTTAAGGATTTATTGTTTAATTTTAAAGATTAAATTTTTTTAAATATTATCATTATATTCAATTTTTAATTAAACTTATTTATTAAAATAAGTTTAAATTTCTTTTTAAAATTTAAAATATCTTTAAAATTTTAAAGCTAATACCTAAGTCTTAGGACCAGATCCCAAATTAAGTATATTTATTATTTTTAAAGAATTTTTTTATTTTAAATTAATAAAATAATTGATATATAATAATTATTAAAAAGATTTATTAATTATTAAAAAATTTAATTAATAGTATATAATTAAAATTATCTTTAAATTCTTTAAGATCAATTAGGACTTATTGGGACTTTTATTAACCCTAATTACGATTAATATTGTTAATACATTTTTCAATCATATCGTACCTGTTTCCAAGTAGCATTAATACATACAACTAAAGTTGCAGGTAAGATACATAACTGCACATATATAACACCATACCTGTATTGCAGTTAGTTATCAGACTTTAAAATTACATTAGACCCGTCATTTATGTTCGTTTGAAGAATATTAATAATAGTCTCAAGTAAAAATTAGTAATAAATATTATATTTGTACTTGGTATTCATATAGTAAATCAAAAGTAAAAAAATATATTTCCTTTAATTCATTTTATTTTATTTTTTTTATATAGAACAAAATTTTATTTCATTTACCAAATCAAATAAAAAAAAGCGTTGTAAATCATTAGAACATTTTTGCATATTACAATTGTATTTATTGAAACCGTAAGTTATGTCGAGCAAGTTTGCCTTTAGAAATTTTAAGCAAGAAACTGAATAGCAAATAATAACTTTGCACAACAATATGGGGCCTTTGCAATAGAAAGGGGGAAACTGCCGGAAAAATTAATTTTACTTTTATATGCCAAATATGATTTTAGGCTGAAATATGTTCAAATTTAGCATTAACTCATTTTTGATTTTTCCGGCAGTTTCCCCCTTTCTATTGCAAAGGCCCCATATGGTCCCATTTTATTATTCAATTCCTTTGAGCTGCAATTCTTTTAACTTTAGATGAATTTCATTTTGTTTGAGTTGCATTTTCCTATCTTCTAATGTAATTTTGCTTCAATTTCAAGTTCACTAGTTACTGTATCAACTTCTATTGATAAAATGTTAATGCAAAGTGTTAAAGAGAAAAGGTTAATTTAAATGAAAAAAATGGTAAGAAAAATATTAAACGCGAATTAAAAAGACTAAATCATCATACCATCATACATAAAATCATTATTTACGAATTGTAATTAATAATATCTGGGTTTACGATTTTCCTTTTCCATTGTGATTATTTGACATAACGGTATACAATCATATGATTAATAGTACCTAAAGGATTAAAATATTAATGATTTTTTGTTGTGATTATTTAACATATCGGTATGATTAGTATCGTACCTATACATAATCATACCTTATCTATCGAATCCTATCATACAGTACTAATATACTATACACCCTTGTTGTCCAGATGAAATCTCCCACATAAGCATACCAATCCTATATACTGTATATAGTATATCCTTTTCCATTAATAACTTCAGGCGTCATATAAGGAAGATTTCCATGTATACTTCCTAATGTCTTTTCTTTAAGGTACTCATCATCAATTATATTCTTTATACGGAGGAATACTCGATACTTGTAGTTATTTTCTAGACTAATATTCATTCGGTATACATTTTTTGAAAAAAAAAGAGTATTGTTAATAAATTTGGCCAATTTTTCTAATAATAAAAATCCTTTTTTTGGATATTGTTAGCTTCATTCGAATAAGTGCTGTATAATTTTTATACACGAGTCACATACCAGGTACTTGATTACTGCTAAAAAGTAACGCCTTGCCAAGTTCCTTATATGGCCATTCAATTATTTCTTTATTCATAAAAATCCTGCTGCTTCTTCGGTTGCCAGGAAGAAATACCAATAATGTCATCTTTTGGCTGATATACATTTTTATTACATCATTGATTTTCTTTTTTAAAAGCATTTGAAACATATTCATTAATATGAGCAGCAAGCAGTACATTTGCGGTATCTTCTGAGAATGTTTCATAAAATTTAGGTGCATTGGCCTCAACGGCTTCACGTTTGTCAATGTAAGAACGCTGTCAAGAATGGTGCTAGTATAACTTTTAAAACAGTATTGATCAAAGAAAGCATCGGTAAGGAATGTTTTGTCTTTTCAAATTCAAATTCCGGACTATTAGGATCTGCTATTATTATCTCAAAAAATTTGTTATATCGCAACATAACCTCTACGAATCTATAAACAGACTTTTTAATTTTGACGATTATACTGAAAGCATGATCAGGAATTTGATAAGTATCAGGAACGTATGTGAAGTAGGTGATTTAAGTGCTACCTTCGGTTCATCCATTGGTTCGACATCGACATTAACTTCATTTAAATCAGCAGAAGCGCCAAGACCCTTTCTTAAATGCGTCCGCATAAATAATATTTGCACTCTTATCTGATGACACACTAGCCGTGACAAATGCTACATAATGCTTTCAAATTCTTTAATAGGCATATCGATAAATACATTTTGATTGATTCACAAGACTTTGGAAATGTCTTCAATCGTCGATTCAAGCGCTTGCCATTTGTTCAGTCTTCTACGTGAACTCTTCAATCAAAATCTTCATTAAACCTTCTTGTAACCAATTTTGCCAATCTTTTGCGTCAACATCTTCATATTGCTAAGCACAAAACAGGTGTTCAAGGAACATTAAATTATTTGACACATGTTCGATTGTTCTGTTTGTTGGGAACTTTATGTAGTTTTCAAAGAGTTTCTTGTTATCTTCGCGAAGCATCTTGGATTGTTTATAATCGCGCCACAAGTTTCCAAAACCTACTAGGCTTGACATCTCTTATACTCAGTTAAAGTGTCGGCAAGTGCTCTGTACAATACCAAGAATAGGACTGTGGTAATTTGACTATATGTTGTAACCAAAAATAACAAGATTTACTAATAGGTTAAGGGAAGAAAAATTTTTTCGAATGAGAATTTATTTAATGAATCTTAAGAAAAGATTTTCAATATTGTATTTCGTTTACCTTAATTTTTTCCCGAGAAATTGAACAAAGTTTGTCATTAATGTTATCATGGAAGAACCCTGTTATGAATTAAATAGTATCCGATTAAATTTTTTAAACAAAAAATTAAGTTATCATAAGATACGAACCAGTTATATTTTCACGAGCTAATCCTTGAAGAATACTAGCACCAAATGTCCCTCTTGGAAATCCATCATGAACTGATTGGGCATCATATTTGTCAACCAAAGCAAATGTAATTGAATCTAAGAAAGCACCAGGGTCTGATTTATTTTTTTTAATTGTAATTTGAGATGGATCCGCTATAGCAGCTTCTGATCGTTCGACGTCAAGGGTTAGACATATGCACTCGCCCTTTATCATGGCTTCAATATAATTATCTAATTATAGTCAAGTAAACAAGATTACAGGTTATTAGAAATGTACGAGCAGATAACAATACATATGTAAGCTTGTATATACCTGTTGTAACAGTGCAGGTATAAGTTGACTCTCTAATTCATCAAGATTTCCTCAATTTTCTTTCAATCTCCTCCATTCTTTCGATGTTCTTGACGGAAAGGTCACCGAGCTTCTTTTTTAATCGTTGCTTTGTGATAAATTTATATGCCAAATTGTTTAAGCTGGTTAACGTTCCTTTTAAAGCGCTAAATTTCCGATAAATGAAACTTTACAAAAGTATCTTTTTTGAAGGGTGGGAGCAAATAATAAAAAAGTGACAAATCTTACTCAGATAATATATCTTTGAATTGTAAAATTGTACCCTTCAAATCCATGGTTTGTTGAATTATTTCATTTCGAATCGCAGACTTTATTTTGAAAGCGGTATTAAATATTGTTCAATAGTTCATCATATTGCTTCCTTCAAAATCTCCTTAAAACGCTTGCGTCTTTCCTCTTCAATATCAATCGTGCAATTGATTATTTCGTTTTTAAGACGCGTAATTTCATATTGATAAATGGAATCGTTAATAATGATCATCGGGTTGGTTTTGAATTAGGGAATCGAAACCTTTTGTCCTTCAACTTTAGCGACGTCACCCGTAAGAACCAATTGTTCATGACCTTCGTTACCAAATCCGATGGGCAAGAGTTCACGCTCCCCAACTTTATATAGAGAGTGCGATCACCTAATTCCAACAAATCTAAAGTAATTTTCATTGTTGATTTGATTTCTCTGAAGATTTCACATATTGAAAGATTCCTTGCTTTGTACCAACCATGAAAGGAGGGTCATTATTGTACAAGTAAATTCGCGTTAGAAGTGATTATACTAAAATTTTTTTAAAATAGTGTAATCATTATCATGGATTTACCGGCATGAATTTCTGTATAGAATCCGGTCTTGGATAACGCGACTTCAAGTTTCTGTTTGCAATCGTCAGAATTAGAGCCTTATCCATCAGTAAAGAAGATGATGTGCCAATCCCATTGCCACTCTCATTCAAAAGCCAAATCCGAATTAACTTCATTTGTTCAACAATTATTTTAAATACAGGATCAAAATACGTTCCTTAATATTAGAAAAAAAAAAATTTTTTTTAACAAACGATGTAAGAATGATTTTCCAAGGAGCTGAAACGAATTAATTACCTGATACCACCAAAAAATAATTAAAAGGCACCATTTCTTCATAATAGGCTTCGTTCATCGGAAAAACTTTTAACTTGATAAGTTTATTAAAAGAAAATCAATTGATGTTCTCTTCGGTAAGTATACGATTTTCAAATAAGGTTACCATTAATTGATGGATTTGTCGCGGTTCTTAAAACATGGCCTGTGTTTTAATAAAAAGGTGGAATTAATAATAATATTGTGGCAAGTTCTTAAAAGAATATTATGTCACAAATTTCAAGTGATTTCACCATAAAATTGGGAGACATCATAATATTTTAGAGAATACTTCCATCTGGTTCGAAAGGGAGATATTTGACTTAAAAGGAACCTTTTATCTAAATATAGGGGCGCATAAAGTTAAGACTTGAAGAGGGTGTCTGTACACATTCAAGTTCGAAAGATGAGTAAAGGGTAGGGATATATTGTTACTTCAAACATCCCAAGATATTTAGTAAATGGTAAATATTTAACGAAAAAAAATAAAAGAAAAATAAAGTTTTTCTTAATAGGATTATTTCCAACGAAGAACTAAAAGGGGGAAACCTATTTCTAAGAAAATAGAAGTGCGAAAAAATATAAGATTTTATTAATAGGATTATTTTCAACTGAAGAATGTATAATTGTCGGCAAATAATTATATAAAGAAGCACACGAAACGTACGAAATGAGAGATATTTTGCTAGATGACAAGGACGCATTATTTGACTAGCTACTTCAAATTTAAATCAAAAAAGAAGGCAAGAAAGAACTGTGACGTAAGATATCAACAACGATACGATATAGAAGATTACGACAAGTATTTAATAGAGTACGAACGGAATTGTCACTTGCTCAAGTGAGAGAAGAAGATTTAAGGCAAGTAATTCAACAATTTCTAACTTAACTTTTAAATTATAGAGTTCCAATGTCCGATTAGTTATTTAAATAATGACTTCAATCGAAAAAAATAGACGAATCGCGGCCAATAAATATATGCGGTAATTCCACCGCCTTTTTTTCGTCGTGGGATGTAATAAATGGGATGTAAATGCATGCGAGAGTTGAAGAGTCAATTTATTGAGAAAGATCTATTTATTTCGGTAAATAATGTTTTCACATAAAATATTCGATCATGTAAGATATAAAATATGAAAAGCGGTACGATTTTTGCGAATTTTGAATTGAACATTAGTACCCGTAAGTCTTTAATTTTTGAATATACAGTAGACTGTAAAGTGCAAACGCTAAATGGTTTACCCGGTATCACCACATCTTTAGATTCTGATCTTCATGTGAGGTGTTAATTTCTAATTATAGTAAGATGAAACAAGATTTCTGGGAATATAAATAAAATAAACTCTTTATGATAGAAAAGATTCCTTCCCCCGTAACATTACCATAAATAATATTTAAATAATACCAAATTATTGAAACAAAAAAAAAACTAAACTAGGAACGAAAAAAACCAAGTCGTGGGGTTGAATATTCTATTAAAATTGGAAATGAAGAAGGGTGAGTAGTCTTACTGAGCTATTTGTTGAGTCGTTGTGTATCTGAAGCTGCACTGCCACTAGGTATAAAAATAATC